CCCCCCCGCCCCGCTCCCAGTTTTCTGGTACTGGGGTTTTATGTTTAATGTCTTATTGTATTTTTCACATCTGAATCTGTAACCACTATTTTTTATCTAACATATAACCAGTTGTCTCAGCTTCATATCCTTGAAATATGTTCCTGTAATGATTCTTTTTGCTGGGGACCATATGTCTCTGTGCACATAAACTTACTTTAATTTTGTAATACAACATAGAATACAGCATGTAGTTTTTTGGTTTTTTTTCCCCCATTTTCCTCAGTGGTGCCTAAGTAGTAAATGTGTTATAATTTCAGCTATATATTGTCTATTCTAGGCAGCAAGCTTAATGCAGAATCCTCAAGTTCAACAATTGTAAGTATTAAAATGGAGTACCATTAAAACAAATGTCTTTAGGGGTTTGAATTAATACGAGAAAAGGTGGATCTTTTCTGCACAGTACTGTATTCCTGAAAATGTAATTTTATTTTTGCTTACTGTAAATAAAACTACTGCAGTTTCTTCCTCTTGCAGCTTACTTCCTCCCAGCAATTCAAAAAAGAACTACAGTTTATTGCATACTGTAAAGGTCCCTGCATATCCCAATGCCAACACTGTGCTAACTGTTCCAGGATGTCAGGGATGATGTCAAATGCCATTGGTGGCCCTGCTGCAGGTGTTGGTGGCCTGTCGGATTTGTCCAGCCTGATCCACGCGTAAGTAAGAATTGCACAGTTTTAACTGTTAAATTTGTAGAAGCGTTATTGTGCAACATCTGTTTAAAAGGGATACTGTCAAGCCAATTATACTGTGGCCTGTCCCCACTGTATGCCTGATTATTATTAAAACTGAAAACTTGAAGACTTATTTTTCACTATCTTGTTTGCTTGCTTTGTATGTTTCCATCAATTGGAATGACTGAACTGTGTGTGCTCAGTTTCACTTTCTGGTTCTTATACACTGTTCACTTTCTAAATGCCACTTACTAAAAATGCTCCTTTAAATCTTTAAGTAATCCTACACATGCTCTCAAGTTGTGTTGATAAATTTACTACCTAATATCCCAGACACTAGTTAGAAAAGCTACAGATTTACTTAGTACATGTTGCAACAAGTTCTGCTCTGGCATCCCTCCATTTAGACTAGGAAGGCTTTAGGGAACTCCATAAAATGAAGAGTAGCTTTTACAAAAAACGGAACTAAAGTCTTTTATAGTATAATAGAGATAATCCATCTGAAGAGTCTGCACAAAAACATGCCATTTGCTTATATGGCAAGAACTCTTAAAGGACATACAATTTTACTTTATTTCAGCATGCTAGCCTGTTTCAAACTATTTTTCAGTTTTGCCCCTCCAGGGCAAAAGTAATTTATAATTCACATCACAGACAGGAATGTGCCCCCACAAAATCAAGGGCTGTTTCTACAAAAACCATGACACCTAGATCTATGGAAATGGTGACTTCCCTTCAACCTGTGCTGTGACTTAAAGGAGTCTTGATAATTTGCTACTTGGGCAAAATGCAGAAGTTAAAGAAGCCATGCCAGGCTATTCATGAAGTAATAAGTTTTACTTGCATTTTCTAGTAAACCAGTGTTATGCTTATCTTTTACATGGAATTAATCTTACCTATTAATTTAACTCTCAAGCTACAACTATTACAGAGATGGATCTGTCATTGCTTCAGTCATACAAGTCATAAAGGTGTAATTTTATGCTTGCTTTCTACTAATGACATCTTGCTCACAAGTACAAGTTGGCAGCTGCATACTGTATTTCTGGAAAAACTAATACAACGTTGCACTTCAACTACAAGAGTAGTTATCTTAAACAACTAGAATGGATCTTCTCAAAAAGAAGGGAGCAAATCACTGGAAAGCATTTGGTGCTAGATTTTAGTTTTACCAAGTAAGGTAATACTTTTTCCTCCATGTTTACAAGTAGAAGTAGTGGTTCTAAAGAATGAAAATGAAGATTTGATGATAATCCTGTTTGGAGAGACTTTAACTAGATAAGACTGTACAGCAAGTTATCTTTAGTCTTTTATATAATACACTTTTCAGTTTTGTTGGGATATCCTGTTTTCTTACAAATGCTGCTGTCAGGTTTTTTTACTTGTTAATTTTACTTAAAACTGTTCAACACAGGGGGCAGCAGTTTGCACAACAGATACAGCAGCAGAATCCAGAGCTCATAGAGCAACTGAGAAATCATGTCCGGAGCAGATCTTTCAGTGGCAGCACTGAAGAGCATTCCTGACTTAAAGGAGGCATGTGAATTGGAATGGCATATAACCCTAAAATGCATACATAGTTAGTAGCAAAAGCACCATTGTAACTCTTCTGCTTGAATAGAAGACAGAAAATTCTTTGTGCGTGTTTGCAAACAAGAATAAATCTGTTAAACAGATCTATTGCACATAACTTGGAACATATCATTTATGTATAGTTAATCCTCTGAAAATTACGCTAAATAGGTGGTTTATTAAAATCCCTAAGTACAAGTAATTTTGAGTATGTGCATTAGATTGATCTCCAGGGCTATTGAGTGGAGAGGAGTTTTGTAGTGGGCTGATCTTGCATAACAGCTTATTTCTAAAGTCCTAGTGTAAAAGGCATGTTATCCTTACAGTGAAGGTCATTATGGCTGTATTCCCTGTCAAATAGTGAAACAACAGGCCCATCTGATCAGCCCTTTTATAATGAGCATAGATCAGTGTTGGAGTATAGAATGTACTTGAAACTAATGCCTGAAAAGTCTTTTTCTTTAAGCCTGTGGAGGGGCTGTTATTATTAACATGAAATATTTTTCAGCTTCATTGGGCAGGAGGGAGGGAGATGATTGCGTATGAAGGAGTACCACAAATTGTAGAGAAAGAGAAGGCACTAATCCCGAGTAGGATAATACACAGAACCAAAATGGAACTTGGCTTGGGAAAGGAAAGAGTATTTAGAAGTTTTAGGCTTTTCTACTGCCATGTATACCCTCAAATCATCATGGTAGCCCTGGAGGTCAGCATTATGGCGCTATTTTCCTAGGCATGGCAAACTGTATTACATTCTGTATGTATGCAGTATTTAATATAAGCTTAAAATTCTTAACTGTAATAAGCTAAAACTGATCCTGTGACTGTACAAATAACTAGTACTGAAAATTTATCAAGAAATAACTGCCTTAGAAAGAAGGATTCTGTTTTTCTATTCTGGTGTGGTAAATCACTGTCTTAATTAAGGATTTTTTTTAAGTTTCATTACATGTATCTATCTTAAGTGATAGTTATATGGCCAAGTTAAAGATTTTTCCACTCTCTAGTATTTCTGTTCCTACCCTGGCTTATCTTGCTCAGTTAATCTTATTCTTTCAGAGACCACTGTCTTTCTATATTTTTATTATGTTAACTTTTTTTATTCTGCTTACTGTTCACACTGCTTTCTGGTACAAGGTAGACTTGTTTTTACTCCAGGGAGGTTCTCAACACTCACATTTTCCTCTTTGTGTATCAAAACTAATTTGAGGAGCCTGCTTTGATTCCTAAGAGAAAGTGATGTCTGCTGGCTAGTTAGACTGGAGAAGGTATGTGGAGGAATAACAGTAGACTCCAAAATGGAGAAATACACAGGAACTCCTGGAACGCAGACATAATGTCTGATTCATCTTGTCAAAAAAGAGCACCTCAGGTAGAATCAAATGCAAAATTTGGGGTTAAGTCATGTACTTGACTCTAACAAATGCTAGTTGTGCATCTATTGTGTGAGTCTTCCCCTACTAAAACTGGGGGGGGAATGCAGCTGGATCTAAGGAGAAATGAAAAGAATTGGAGAACACAAAACCAGGAAATCAGTACTACATCTGTTGAATAAAGAGGTAAAGAGCAACTTACTTAACTTTAAGACATTTCATACTTTATTCAATAGAGCTTGCCTATACACAGCATTAAAATGCTTTTTAAAATTCTCTATATAAAGTTGCTGTAGCTACCTTTTTGAGGCTGTAGAGATACTTAAGCTTTACATTAAATACATTTCGAAGTAACAACTTCTGACTTGCAGCTTTTGTTAGCAGTCATAGAATCATAGAATGGTTTGGGTTGACAAGGACCTTAAAGATGATCTAGTTCCAACCCCCCTGCCATGGGGAGGGACACCTTCCACTAGACCAGGTTGCTCAAAGCCCCATCCAACCTGGCCTTGAACACTTCCAGGGATGGGGCATCCACAGCCTCTCTGGGCAACCTGTTCCAGTGCCTCACCACCCTCACAGTGAAGAACTTCTGCCTGATATCTAATCTAAATCTACCCTCTTCCAGTTTGAAGCCATTACCCCTTGTCCTGTCAGCACATGCCCTTGTAAAAAGTCCCTCTCCAGCTTTCCTGTAGGCCCCCTTTAGGTACTGGAAGGCTGCTATAAGGTCTCCCTGGAGCCTTCTCTTCTCCAGGCTGAACAACCCCAACTCTTAACATCTGATGACAAAGAAGAAAACCCCTAACAGGATCTTCTTTCAGAGGTAGTTCAGATCCCAAGTCTAATGCATTCAAGAAAACTGCTACTTCAGTTACATTTAATAGCACAGGATACCATTTACAAGAAAAATAGATGGAGGCTATGGGTGGGCTATTGCTATGGTACAAACATCGCTTAGTGTGCTATGTCAGGAGAGAGGCATTGCTCCTAGCATATCTCCTGTTAAACTTCATAGTTCTCTCTTTCATATTTTCAACTGCTCAAAATGAGTCTTAACTTTGATAAGGGGAACCAATAAATCCAGAGTGGACTGGACAGCACTGCAATCTCTCTCACACAATTTATCCTTACTTTGTGACAGCAATCATCATGTGGTTAGTTTCCTTTCTACTTTAAGACAGAAAGAGTGTCAAGAACCTCTTGAGAGTTCCTTAAGAGCTACAAGATATGATCATAGTCAAAGACCAGCTGTAGAAGTTGTAGTGCCAAGTACAAGCCTTATAGCTTACTGGATTTATAGGAGAACTATCCCCAAGGTTAAATGGAATGAAGCATTGGTTAGTTATCTGAAAACTACTCTTAAAATCATCTTTATAGAGTGATAACTTTCATTTCACACACTACAATATTGTCATGTTTAGGTTTTACTCCAGTACAGGTAATATGTAACTAGGGTATTTATTAAAACATTGATGGCAGTAGCTAACCCTTTAGGAATGTGCTACAACTGGCACAATACTTAACTTGTAAACATTCTTTGTTTCTTGTACATTAACAGAAAGGGCATTATAGCCTAAATAAAAACAGTGAAACCAATAACAGGAGCTGTTATTACATGCTTTTCCATTGAAACCAGGAACAGAGGGATCATTTATGCTAAAGTCTATTTTGCCTTGAATAGGCTAGATTGTTTTGCAGGCATGCAATATGTCTTAATCACAGGGTGAGGAAGGAGTCTTTTCCTGTGTAATAACTGCACTTCATTTTGCACTAAAATTTTTCATCCTGCTAGATCAAGTGGTAAACCACAATCCCCATAAATACTGCTTAAATTTAAGGTCAATTGCAGTTTGTCATTCAACAGAGCAAATATGCACTTAACACCTAATTGGGTTTGTATCATTACTATTCCATCAGCATATAAATGTGGTAATCGTTAGAGAAAAAAGTGTTTTGCACTCAACTTGTAAACTCCTGTAACCTGCTTGCATGGAATTATATTCTTCTAAATATGCCTGATCATAAAGACACCTAATGAAATATTCAGTTTAGAAATTGTTTCAGTTGCACTTTTTGTTATGTAACAAGTACAAAGTAAAATCACTCATGCATACTGAGAAAGAACTAAGTTTGCAGCTTTGGATTGACATGCTGTTTCAGGGCTACAGAAATCATACTGGCAAAATGCAACTTGTCTACCCTTTCTGTATCTCTCCTACCTCTTATTACCTTATGGTTACATCTCCTTCAACTTGTGTCCATTTAACTTGGAAACAGATTATAAATAAAGTTATTTACATTTTTTGTCTGGATAGTTGTGGTTTTACTGGTTTAGTTTGTTGGTATATCTAGAGTAACAGGTAAATTGCCTTCTTTAAAATACCTGTTTATGTTGGTTGCTCTGCATTTTATTAGATGTGCAGGATATAGGGTTTTTTTTTCTTATGAACTCATTCCCTCAATTTATCCAATATTTTAAAATTGAATTCTACACTTAAAGATTTTATACACAGGAAAGCCTTAAGTAAAATACTGTCAAAACTAACCAAGGTTGCTAAGTGCCAATATGGTAGCTAAGAAATATGACAAGCCACTGAGTAGAATCTTTAACCCTAGTTTAACTAGTGTTAAACTAGGAAAGCCAGTCACTATTTTCTGTATTAAATGGCTACCTTTGGGTGACCTTAGATATTTCAGTCAAAAATATTTCCATCTTTTGTCAAAACAAAGCTAGAGAGAAGTACATTTCAGTGCTTAACCAAGTCCTGAATTTCTTCCTGCATATGCTTTGGAGGACATGATATAGAGCAGCCAGGCAGGGGTTTTCTCCTCATTTCCCTAAAAATCTACTTAAATGCCTCTGGGATAGGAAAACAGTTTGCACCACCTCAGTTTAATAATAAAAAAATGCCTGAGTTCTGCTATTTTAGTTTTCAGTTCCCTACTAATTGGAAAGTAACATGCCTGTTCAGAGCATGGCCTGTATTGCACAGATGCACAACTCTGCACAAGAGTGCAGATAATTGGGACAGCTTTGCTGTACTACCCCTTTCCAAAGAGTGAGCACATTTTTTGGCTTATACTCCACTTTCTAGCTGCTAGCACCTCAACAGTGCCAGCTGCACTGTCTCACCTCATGCCTTTACAAGGCTCTAGTTCTTATGGCTATGCAAGTACCATGCAAATACACTGCAATGCCAGGTACCCCAATGTATTTCTTTTAGGCGGTTGGATTCCAGGAACTTGTCTGTAAAACAACAGTTCCTTCAAACTGAAGCAGTTTTGTCAGAACCACAATTTTTAAAATGTTTAAATATTTACAAAAATAATTAAAATCAAAATGCCCTAAAGTGATGTTGATGTAATATGATTTGCTAGAGCTACATTTCTTTCAAAGGCTTTATTTTCGGTAGACAAAATGTATATGCACGTTTTCAGAAGATTTTAAACATTCAAAAAATGCTCAGAGGAATTAAATAAGCATAGTTACATTTATAGACATATAGGGATTTGGTTTTGTTTGTACACATTTTAACATGATTCAGGTGCAAAAACATCAAGAAGTTGATCAAAAAAAAGCCCAGCAAAACCACAGAATTTTTTCTTCAGCTTTGTTTGAATTCTGAAGAAACTACACAGACTTGCGCAATATCATCGTACTCATATGTTCTCTTCAAAAACGTGTCCGTAAGTCTTAAGCCAGAGACACTCTAGAAAGGGAAAATATTTATAAAAGTTATTAGAAAGAATTAATAAGCTTGTAAAACACCTATTTTATAACAAAAGTATACTCTAAAGACTTACTTGCAGTCCCTGCACTGAAGACAACAATGTAAGTGCAAGATGGAGGGATGAACTTGGGTGCAGCTTTCCAAGTTGTCTTCCTGAAACTCCACACCAGTGGATGGAATTGGTATTGCACATTTCTAAAACAAGATCCATAGTCCTTTCACTGCTAGAAGAAATTGAAAAACAAGAATAAACCTGTGGGCTTTTTTTAAGCATTCAAGGACTGCAGACATGTAAAAGCTTGATTACTTTATTATTCAGGTTACTGTTAATCAAGCATTTATAAATAATTACAAGGCAGCAAGCAAAATTTACTCTGATGTGCAGTAATTCAGTTACATATAGCTTTGTCCAACAGGAGCATCCTGTCATGGGTTTAGCAATACTGGATAACATAATACTGCTCAGATTTTGGATGGAGTACAAGATTTTCATGAGAAGTATATCCAGACCAAATGCTTTAGTCCCTGGCTTCAACTTCTAAATAGAATTACTTTATTTAAATGTCACCCTTGCAACCCTTTTATAAAGGGCTACGGTAGACCCTAGTGTAAACACAAATCAAGTCAAAACATGGATAAAGATGTATGGAAGACTACAGTGACAATGTTTAGCAGGCATTCTTGCAGTGGTGCAGAACTAGCGGTATAATCAGACTGGATACAAATGGCATCATTTATTCTGATAAAATTAATTGTAGTTAAAATCCTATATACACACTCATTTTGTTATTAGATTAACTAAGAAGTAATTAGTGATATAAGGATGGGGTGCAATCTTAAGTGATATTGCAGCCAGTTCCATAGAATTCCACTACAGATTTTTGACAACCTCCTAGTTCAAATAGTATTAACAGATCACAGTGGAAGGGGTTTTTTTTTATTTCTTCAGGTTTTTTTTAAATTATTGTAAAAAATGCATTTCAGGTAGATTCATGTTGCTACAACTCATAATGAAGACCAGGTTTGAGTTGTTTCAGGAGAAAGTATTGAAAAATGAAACAAAGACGGCCACAACTTACCCACTCAGGAAAAAGCACAAGAATCACATGACATCATTACCTGCAATTTGTTATTTTACATGTAATGTCAAATGGTTCTTCCAAATTTACGGTGTCTGGTATTGTCTCCAAAGAAAGCCTTACATCGCCATAACCAGGAGCCTGAGAAGGTAAAGAATACATATTCTCAGATGTTGGATAGTAAAGTTGAAGTTTCTACTACTCAAGTTTTACTTACTGCAGCAAGGTTGGAATAAGGGGAATTTGAATAAAGATTGATGCTTCATGCTTTTGATTTGTACCCAAATCACAGCCATGCTCCATCCACTACCGATGACCACCTTTCTTGATAGGTTTAACAATTCATTAGACAAGGATGATCTTTATTACTAAGTTTTTCAGGTAGTTCATATCCTTAAAGTTTGAATATGCATGTACAGTTCCCAAGAAGATCAGCTTTATTCTAAGACCTCTCTGTTAGGCAGATGACAGATATACTATGGACAACATAAGTATAGTTTTCCTGCATAAACCCACCACTATTCCACATACTAAGAAATAAGAGCTTGATCATTCTCCTTGCCATTTCAGTCCTCCAAGCCTCTGCCAAAATAATTAATTGCCACCAGTCAGAAAGGCGCATGATACGAACACTTGTCAACTATCCAATTCTGTCAAGAGACAAATGCATTTCATATGATCTACTAACAAACCTATGATAGATATCCTAGTTACTGCTAATCAGGGCTGATTCAGGGTGGCAACCTGCAGATAAAAAGCTTTAGATTTTCAATCCCCACAAGTGATAGAACGTAAGGAAAAAAAGGGAAAAATTTGTCCTGCCTGATAAGGCTTAGTTGTCACACATGTTCCAATTCTGCTGATAAATGGATGCTGTAGTAAAAGTTACATTTACAGCTTGATTAAAAGATATTCCTGATGAGGTCCAGAAAGCCAGTGACTGACAGGTTGGGAACAGGCTTTAGTCATATACAGTTCATTACAGACTAAAGACAGATAACATTTTGGAAAGCATATTAAATCGGACATTAGAATAAGCAAAGGGATCTCAACCCAATAGACACTTCAGACCAGTTGAGCAACATAAGTTTGGAACCCTTCAAGAAAGAGAAGTAATTATCCAGCACTGGAAAAAGGCACACATTTTCAGCTGTCCTAGGTGACAGAAAGGGATCTACTGGAAAAATTATACCAGTTTCCTAAACAACAGGTAGTTTGCCATAATATTATACTCTTCTTTTAAGAGAGGTATCTTAAGGGGAAAAAAAAAAGGCAGTATTTTGTAGAATAAACCTAGCAGCAATTGACTAAATCAAGACAGGATCAGAGGAGATGAGAAGGCCTAAACCAGTACATGCCTGTTGGCCTTAACAATGAGATACCTGCAAGAACTGATGGCTAGAGGTAAAGGCCTTACAGTAACACCAGAAGGAAAGAACATAGTTTTCATCCAAAAAATATAATTGCTCAGAGTATGTAATCAACTAGACAACTCCTTGCCTATGCTACTCAAGAATAGTGGTCTTTAACTTTGGACTGGTTGTAGTCTAGTCCCAGATTGAATGCCCATCAGCAGGTAGAGCACCCCTGCATACTGTGGACATGCATCTGTCTGGTTTAATGTCACCCCGAAAGAATGTAGTTGTGAATTCCAAGATCACTCCACAAAAAAAAACAAATTACAGTACATGGGGGTGATCCAGTATACTTGTTTCAAAAGTGCACTCCTGATCTGAACCAAAACAGTGACAGAGGGGCACAGTACAGGTAAATTCTGGGCCTGTGGGAGAAACAACAGTTATAGGGCTAGTAATTGGATTAAGAGGAAAATGATGGAATGTGAAAGGAGCCTAGACATGAAATAATCCAATAGCATTTAAAAGATGAGGAGAAGAAAAGAGAGAGCTGCACTGCAACTCAAAGCAGGCAGCAGGGTAGGGGGGAGGGAACCCAAACCAAAAGCTATTTGCTGCTTTTCCAGACAGATGTTGCTCAAAGTACACAGAACAGCTCAGGTTTCTCTGTTAATCACTAGCACAAAAGAATGATGGATGACTAAAACTAATCCTAGGGTGTGGAGGTGTGTTAATCACCACTGTGTTTGAAGTGCAATTCTCAAAGGTTCAACAAGGAGGGATGTAGAGTGAGAGAATACTGATTTAGGGAAGGGAAAAAAAAACCCTGTCTTTAAAGAGAAATGATAGGAAAGGTCAGTTGAAAATGAGACAGTTTATTAGTTAAAAAACAAGCAACAAGTTTCCAAGTAACAGGAGGAAGTTTAGAAAAAAGGGCGTTTTCTAATTTGATGGGACTACAGAGATACTTAACACCTCAATTAAAAACAAGTTTTAGTGATTTAGCTGTGAATTTCCAGGATCCAAGTTTGCTTGCCTAGTTTCAAGTCAATGTGATTTCCCTACAGAATTGCTTTATTTACTAAAAGATGGGGGTAGGGGGAGAAACAGAGGTGGAAACCCAATTACAAGCTTTGCAAACTCAGATTAAGATTCAATTGTCAAAGCTTTTTTACTTTTCTCCCGTATTACACCAGCCTCAATTCAAAATATGCAAGCCAGGTTTAGGCATTAGCATAGACAGGCTGTGCAGCTGACTTAAGCAAGCTAATAATTACAACTTAAAGTTCATGAACAATTTCTAAATCAACCAGAATAGAACAGGTTCAATCAAAACTGTGGACATGAAAGATAAAATAGTATTATCCTATACATAAAAATTGTTACTCGAAGCTAAAAAGTCTGTATGAATTAGGGAGCAGACTTCTGTGTCAACAGCTGGCATACTTAAAGGAGTTTTTTGTCAGTGCTTTTCAGTTAATTTTATTCTAACCAATGTATTTTGCTACATAGGTTGCTTGATTCTGGCAATTCAAGTGCACAATCCATTAAGTTATGTTGTTCAGTGCTGTGAAAAACAAAGAGGCATGTTATGTGCCAGAAAACAAATCCTTGAGAACACAAAAAGTGTTCCTATTCACATGACCAAAAGGAACAATAATGCTTTTGTTCAGCTAGAGTCCCTCAGAATAGTGTTTTTCCACACTTCACTGACCAAATGTATTAAATAGCCTTCTCAAATATGTATACAATCACATGAATTCAGAATGAGGTCCAGAAAGTAAGCAGCTTGAACTTTTCCTTCAAGTCATTATTAAATTGTTCAACGAGTTGCCTTAAAAATGGATGCTAAGTTAAACTGATGCTTAAGTTAAACTTACCATTCTTTGGAGCTGGCTAGTTTGCAGCCTTCCTCGTTCACCCAGATTAGTTTTCCATACAATGTCTAGTTTACCAATCACTGTTACACCTTTTATTATTCCAGCTTTCTCTGCAAATTCTTGCTTTGGTTTCAGGCAGTATAAATACTGACGTGTATCCATAGGTTGTAAATAAGTCCTTGAGCCAAAAGTAGACTCACTGAAAGAAAAAAAAACATTTGGCATTAATTTAAACATTTTTAAGACAACTTAAGAACCCAACCTTTTTTGCCATTCCTCACCAGTCTTACCATGTGTATGTATTTTATTCATGGCAAAACACAGAGTATTTTTTTCACAGCAGAAAACAATTCTAGAATTTATGTAGCATCAAGGACCAATCTGAGCAAGACAGAACCGAGGTGGAAATCCCCTTTGCTACATTATAATTTATTATCTGGCATCTTAGCATTTAAACAACAACGCTGGTAATTTTACTTCTGCTACTTGGTTCCCTCCCAGTAAATCTCAGTGTCATGAGCCTAAGATTCCTGTTCTCAACAAGAACCATTACAGCAGATGCAAACACTTTGTCAGAACAATGCTCCACTACACTGCAGGTAAAACCTTCAACAGGCAAGAAGAGAATTTTCACTTTAGCCCCCACTGCAGAAGCACCCAAACATCACCTCCAAAAACCCAAGCAACTGCAAAGCACAAACAGCCAAAGTTAACTTTTACCCAGATATCACAAGCTTTTGTATCCACAACAGTTTCCTGAACACAGTAGACAATTCTTCTGGTATTTGGTGTTTTAATAATTGACACTAAGTGACATTTCATTTATTTCAGCATGAAAATTTTTACATTTTAAGATCTTATAAGGGCATTCCACTGATTCACCTTGACTGCTGCCTTGCTAGATGTTGATTAGAACAACTGAAAACAGTTACCAGTCTGCTAGGAAGAAGCAAGGACAAGTCAGATGGGTGCTGTAAAGCTATATGTATACTCAGATCAAGTCAGAACCAGATGTGGGCTAAATTTTACGTAGAAGATACTGAAGAAGTGGTATGTTTTCATGTTACCATGTCATCCATGTTATAAATTATTTGAGGATTAAACTGGGGATTTCTCTACTAGGTAGGATTACAAAGTTTTAAGAATAGTTTCTATAAAAAGAAAACTGCAACAGCTTTTCCAGCTGAATACATAACAGGAATTTGATATTTTTAATCAAGCAAAGAAGTACAATCCTGTTACAGGCAACTCACTAACTGTAATGCTTATACATCCTGGAGTCATAATACAAAGAGTTTCAAAGTCAAATATCCTGAATCTGAACATACCTTTTCCCTGCTGTGTCAACTGTGTTCAGTTCTGCAACATTGTACATCATAGATGGCTCTAAAGACACCTTCTCCATAAACATTGGAGAGGTGGTGATATTCTGAATCTGAGCTTCCAGAAACACTTCATCTGTCTGGAAAAAAGCAAAAGTGAAAGTTCAAGAAAACATGATTAGTGTTATTAAAGAGTAGACAGTCCTATTGTTAAAAAAAAAGTCACATGTGTTTAGTTCATGCCTGCAAATCAAATTAATTAATGCAAGAAAAAACCTTAATCCCAGTAACAATAGGAGCAAAAGTGTTAGTCAACAGGTGTTTTGCCAAACAATGGATGTGGGATAATTTTGCTATGTTCTAGCTATTGCTTATTTGTAATGCACCACTTCCCAAGACTTTCATCAACTCAATATCAACTCAAGTTTTAAACCAAATTATTAAAAAAGAAAAAATAGAATAAATGGTAAGGAATTGCAGTGCACAATGACATGCCATGCCAGATTGCTAGCGCATCAAGCTGTATTAAAAAAAAATAAAATAAGTGTGTGTTTTTCTTTAACTGAAGTAAAATAGTTCAGGTACATGCTCTGAAGTTTTATTATTATTCTGAAACATTGATGCACCAGCTAAAAGCCAAAACCAGCCTCCTCCCTTACTCAGCTTCATCATGCCAATGGTTACTAATATTATATGCATCCAACAGTTTAACTGGTCCTCTACCTTCAAAACATCCTATAAGACTTATCTGTTAAATGAAGCTAATGCCTGAAGATGTTATATAGAGACCAATTCTAGCACAGGAATGAAAGCTACAGACTGTTAAGCTTTAGAAGCTGAAAAAACATGGAACTAGAGGTGGTTTTGCCTCACTTCTATGGAACTGCAGACCAGTGAAGTCACTTTGCAGCTCTAAAATCTCAGGATAGAATAATTACAGAAGGCTCAGTCTATTAGAGATATGAGCCCCTGGAGAACTGAAAAACAAAACCAAAGAAGTGCCAATTAAAAAAAAGGGGGGGAAGGGGTACCAAATCTGCATTTACAAGAGAGTTACTGATTCAGGCAGTTGGACTAGATCATTGTAGGTCCCTTCCAACTGAAACATTCTATTCTATAAATTCAGTATGAAGCACTTTAGGTATTTAGCTATGATAAATTAAAAAAAAAGTATTTTTATGGGGAAGGTGGAAGGAAGACTACAGTTTCTTTTTAATCAGTGTAAATAAGTTACTTCATTATACAAATGGAATCCCGCTTGTAAATTACTAAATAAAAGTAGGACAAAATAATCAGAATATTTTTAGTCTCAAAAGGCATTGCATTAGAAGGAGGAATACAGAATGGTACTGGAACTATTTGTTGTGCCTTATAAACACATGTTAAACACAAACCAGATGATAGCATATATAGAGTAATGAAAACTGTGCAAGCTCCATGGGTTATGGACAGACCTCACACTTGCAGGAGCAGCTGGAAATAACCCCAACTAAAACATGGCTCTCAGTAATCATTACTACTACCACTACCTGTCACTTAAATTGATACTGTTTATATCCCATAAATCCATTGCTCAAAGTGTCCATTTACCCAAGTTTTAGTTGTTTTCAATGCAGCAACCATAGGCAGAAATTTAGAAAAAGCTAATTTGAAAGGAAAAGGAAAAAACAAGCGGCATAATGAAAAAGCAAATTAGATTTGTGTTATTCCTAAGTTGGTTTAATATCACGTGGTTTAAAAAAAACCAAAACCCCCTTAAATACTTCAGAAGAATGCAGTTTATTTTAACACAAGGCACACCTTAAAGTGAAATCAGACTGCAGAAGTATCATACTAACTCATCAACTGTTACATGCAGTTTAAAGTTGGAAAGTGCAGTTCCAGCTAGCAAAAGGAAGGAAGAACATCCAACTGCTGCTCTCTCCTCAAACCCACTGTCTCCACCAACCAGACATGAAAAGTTCCGTCACAGCTTACACAAGCAGTGCTGTAGTAAGACCTACTTTTCTATGGGTCATAAGCAGGAAAATTTTAGAAGGGATTAACTCCCATTTTCAAATAATTTGTCTCATCACATTTTGGTGAGGTATTTTATAGGAGGACCCCCACAAGCAACAGTCTGTAATAATCAACTTTTAGTTTCAACAATGGGTATTAAAGAAAGAGCTAACCATTTAAATGATTAGCTGCACATTTAAAGATGAGAAAACATCAGTTCATGATATGCAGAACAAACATTGCTTTTCCATTATGTTTTTAAAAGAATGTCAACAACAAGCACAGAGACAGATAGGCAATTAAAAAGCATATATATTTATAAAAAAATAAATAAAAATTACCACAGAACTGAGGTCACTCTAATGGGAAAATAAAAAAAGAACACATTAGAGAAATTAGGGTTAAATGTTAAAGAAAAAGGAGGCTAACTTTCAAACAAAATGCATTTCTGCATTTTTTTTGCACCATCTAAACAAGATAGCATTAGTAAGACAGAAACGTAAATAAAAATGGATGCAAACAAAGATGACAACTACATTTCTAATAAGTTATAGCTAGTATGGTTACATGGTTTACTAGCTTTGCTTCAGAACCAATCCAAAGGAGAGCCTAAGGCACACTAGTCACAGGTAAGATATGATAGAACAAACTGACCCAAAAAAGAAAGTGAGTTTTTGAGCAGCTTTAAAGTTTGTCCTGAATTTAAATCCATGCAATGGGTTGTATATGAAATGGAAAAACAGTCCTTGTCATTTTACATATGAAGTATCCACATCTCAAAATAAAGATAATGTGGTAATGTGTTCTAGCAAAGCTACAATACTGCAGCTTATAACAAAATTTGGCACAACATGATCAGGAAAACTTCTTTTTTGAATCTCCATCATTCCAAAAACCCAACTTTAATTGCAAACTTCATTTTCTTAAGTGCCTGCTTATTCGTGTCCCTATGCATGTTTGCAGGAACAGAACCTTTTCCAGAGCCTTTTCCAAGGCACACCAAAGTCAGTGAGAGACTTTCTATAGACTGGGGCAGGTAATTCACTCTCAGGATTGCAGCAGGTTAGGGCGACAGGGCATGCGTTCTATGCACAAATTTCAGTGATCAACTTGATTTGGATGCTACTGCAATATGAGCAACAAGCAAGAAAATTAAGTTTCAGCGTCATTCCTTGTCTTGGAAAAAAATGAAATTCTGGATTAAAATTTCTAGTAGAAAATAATTTTAGTGACAGACTTCATGAATAGATAGCATCACATCTGTAATACTAATGGTAACAGTTCAACTGGTTAGTTAACCTTTGAGGACCTTTAGTTAACTAATAACTGACACTTTTTTTTTCTCTCCTCTGCTCTCAAGGATAACTGTCCTTAATATTCTTTATGAAGGTCTTGGTGGTTTGACAGCAATGTAGTATCACATACAACATCTAACCAAAGGCTTATTTCTAGTTGTTTTTTTTTTAATTTTGACTTCTGTGGTCACAACACATAGCAGCACTTTCTATACTTTCAGAAATGAAATATGAATGGTACTATATCAGTCTGCTAGGCAAATGAAAATTGGTCAGTTAATATCATCCAAAATATTTTGAAAAAAAATTTTTTTTTCCAATCAATTGTATGGATACTATGGTAGTAGGAGTTGCATAAATTCCTGAACAGGAAGAACAAAAGGCATCAAAGCAGCCTTTTAAAACCTTTACAGGGGTGGGGAACCAAAACCAAGAAAACACAGATACCAGCTCAGACACCAGAGCTTTTCATAGACCTTTGTCATGAGGAAATTGTGGCTAATTGAGAATGGAGTTTTTTAAGTCCCATATCAAGGCCAGTCAGTAAAACATTTTGTAAGAAAAGAATGTCAAACCTATGTCAAAAGTTTGCCCAGAATTTATCTCAAAGAGGTATTTATTCCCATTCATTATGAAGTGTTTCAGCACAACACAAAATTTACATGTGAAGTATAGATAAATTTTGCTGTCTCTGTATCTTTCCCCTACCACATATTTTCTATCTGAAACAATAACATAACCCATGCACAAAACAGAGGTTTATTTTGTTCCCAGAGGAATTACCTGTTTTTTTAGGATTATTTTTGTTCTTAAATCACAGAAGGAGACATTTCCAGACATTCCCATTTACAGATAACACCAGTTCTATAAAGCACTTGACCAGTGCTATGTGCTTACATTCTGATCCTACTCAGGTATCTTACACCTGGTCAACCTAAGAATTGAAGCCTGTGGCCTAGATACATGTACCAATATATTTTTAGGAAAATGTTTTTCCTCTTTTCCTCTGTACTGTGCTACTTAAATCACTTACGACCTATGCCTTGACTTAGCCACCCTCTAAATAAATTACATGCTATATATTAAATGTCTCACAATTTACATGCTATTCATTCACAGCAGAGAGAAATCTTTATGGAAACTTTCTTGCACAACTCTGAACAAAACAGATCTTTGCATCTGGAATCCTCATTTGTAGAGCAGAAACTGTTATCTGTTATTTCTCCCTTCTCTTTTCTCTATTGATACTGTCAGGAAGGGAAAGAAATATACCTTCCACACCTCTATAGCTATAATCTTGCATGATGAACCCCAGGTGTGACTATGATGGAGGTAAATAATTAGAACAATAGACTTGGAGACTCTCTGCTTTTCTACATGCAAATTCATAGCACATATATCCACTTAGTTATGAACAAACAGGAGAGCAAAATACTCTCTACTTAGCTTAAGACAAGTTATTTTTCTAATTGCCAAAATTCCCTATATTTTTTTCTCCCCTCACTGAGACTTTAGTCTTTTTCTCCCGTCTACTATTCACTGCAATATAAACCACCTCCAACTTCACTCTCTTTTAAACTGCTTCAAACTGTTTAAGAATACTAATGAAGGTTTTCAACCAAATGACTAGCAGTGTAATAGTTGACCATATTTCAGGGGTTATGGAAAAAGATTAATACTCATAATGGAAGCTCTCAAAGTAGTTTGCAAGTATCAGCCTGAACTTAGTACAAACAATAGAGAATACAATGCTCACAAAATTAAGCTACTTGCTCACTATCACAAAGCAGGTCAGTGATAATGATGGAAACATGTCCTAACTTCCTATGTAATGAGATATTGTGGAAGTTTATACCCTACAACAGGCCTGTATAATACATATACCCACAGGAAATGTCTACAAATAAAAAGAATGCTGTATGTAATTTGTAAGAGTTTCCACTATCTGTCACCTTCAGCTAAAATTCTTCCCATAAATAGCGAAAGATAGATGCCTAAGTACGTCCAAATAAATATACAAGGCATGTATAAGATAATTTAGTTCTGAAGCACTGTGTATAACTGCCACAAACCTAAAAGTTAAATTATTCAACAGAGCGGTCATAAATTTAAATTTCCTCAATGTCAATATGACCACTCTGTTCAATAATCTAAATTTAAATTTCCCCAATCTGGTAAATTATTATCTGCTTTGTGAACAATTAATCTCCCTTACAGTAAGTACTCTATCAGCCTAAATATATGAGCAATAACTGAAAGTATTTGAGTTCATGGGAAAATGGAAAATATGCAAAGTTGTCAGTCAATTGCATTAAGGTCCTGACATGTCTGCCTTAGTTACCATCTCTTTCCCACCTTCATCAACAGTATATTTATTTTTAAAATAAATTATAAAAACCCGCCACCTTTTTTTTCCCTTTAGAACTGATCATCTTTCTCAGAAAGATGTACTTAAGAAGCTCTTTGAATTTAATCTAACCACCTAACAAAGTAATAAACCCAGCACACCAAAACAAACCCAAATACACACAGCTCTCACCTCAGCATTGTAGAATTTGGTTTTCACATCTAGTGGCTTAAGAACCTGAATGAAATGGAAAAAAGACAGATTGACAACTGGTTTCTCAGACAGCTTCAGCATAAACTGTTGATAAGTACTAAGATATTCACTAAAGTGTTATTTTTCTTTTTGATCTTACATAGAACAGGTGCATAATGGAATATCTGATACAATCAACTCAGCTAAAACCTCACAACTTAGAGTACATACTCTCGGCTTCTTATTTGCACAGTTGACTGCTTTGCTACTAAGCAATTTTCTCCAATTGAAAACAAACACTTCTCCACCCAAGCACTGGCCTCTTATGAAACCAGACAAATGCAGTGCACTAAGTAGATCTATGTCTGTAAAATAACATTACATCCATCTTGTATCCTGAAGTGGTCTGCACTTGCTTTCAAGAGTGAGCAAGAACCATGTAATATTCACAAGTCCTTCAGTGTTCTGCAGCAAACAAAAGTTGCTGAGGGCTCCTCTAAAAATAAATTAAATGGATAACTATTCACGTGATTAGCTTAAGCACAAACCATTACTAGGCTTCACTTCCTTCTTGAAAATGCAACTGTTACAAAAAATAAAAAAGCCAATACATCATTTTAATCACATGAGATTAAAGCAGCAAAGGAAAACAATTCAATGATATAAAAGGTGATAATAAAGTTGTGGTTCTTAAGTGCTTCAATTTGTGCGTAAAGCCACTTCAGTTAACACATTCCAATATGAAATGGATATACACTGACATAACTGAAAGAAATAATCTTCTATTATACTTGTATGGAAACAGATTTAAATTATCTTGCTGAAGACATTTATTTCCCTTTACACAGGGAAACTTTTCGTTTCTTTACATGTAAGTATACTGCATCCTAAGAGACCCCTAAAGTTCCAAGCTGTGAACAATTTTTTTTAGCCCTGAAGAATTCAAGATTAAGTAGTCTTCCCAGATTTTCACATTATAACAGGCATAATGTTAAAATCTTTCAAATAATAACTCTCTCTCTAGTCAGAAAAAAAAATATTGAAATTTCATTTAGGTGTTTGTTGGCTGAGTGGTTTTTTTCCACCAAATATTTTGTTTCAGTAAGCTTCTTAATTTCCCTAAATGCTGATGTTTTCTTTCTCTTTCCATTCATTCCAGTAAAAATCAGATAATTAGTGACATTCACAACCCCCCCCGAACCAAACAACAACCAGACTCTAGAAAGAATCATTCCTTCTCCATATAAACATAATGGTGTTAATTACTCAAGAGAAAACTTTGGAACAAAAAGGCACTATTGATCAGTATTAAACTACGTATAATGGTTGCAAATGAAGCTATTTAAAACCAACTGTAACACCAGTTCAGCTTAAAAGATCCTAGAAAACATAACTGAAAAAGTTGAGGATCTGTCAAAGAAAATGTTTTGGTTTGGGTTGGGTTTTTTTGTTACAAAATAGCTGGTGGCACCTCAGTCACTAGCAGCCATTAATTCCCATCATAAAGACATTGTTCAGTTTTCCGTAATATTTTTGTTTCATTCTCAGATTTTCTAGCTGGTGTCTCCATGTTAAATTAAAAAAAAAAACAGCCAAAATTGCTCAGTGTTTTTCTCATAATGAATCACAGAATATTTATGGTGTTAAAGTGTATATATACTTTTTGAGAAGCTCTTGCACTTTCTTCTTTGAAGGAAGAGCTTCAAATTTGACAGATGCTGGCCTTAGCTATTTTGACATTAAAGTTGCTGTGCTGGATTCAGTTAAAAAACATAGAAATTACAATATGCATGTAGACCCCTTAAAAATGTGCACAAATAAGTTTCCATATCAAATCTAAAGGAGACCAATCAACATCTTGAACAAGGCTCTGGCAAGAACAAGGGTAGGGAAGGGAGAGATGATGACAAGTGGAAGTCTGCACACACATATGTTAGTGATCAGTGAAAGCCTAGAGGGGACTGAGGGACAGAATACTGAACTCCTGGGGCATGAAGAATGGAGAAACTGAAAGGAAAACAGTTTCACAAGGAGAACAAGACAAAACACAGAAAGATGAAAATCAGCTTCAATGAATATGAAGAAACACTGCAGAGTTTCTGGTTCAGAGGAGCACATAAAATGAACATTGACATGGAATGATTTTCCCTAGGATTGGTGGAAACACCTTTGACTAATGAATACCTGCCATTTCAAGGCCCACAACTACTAACAGCACTCGGGTGTTCTTTGTCTGTAGCGCATAGCAATTTAGCCTTCTAAAGACTGAAATGCTCTTTTCTGAAGTATATAGAGAAAGTACTAGAAAAGAGCAAAATGAAATCACCTGCAACTTGGAAAAGATACAGGTCTCCAGTATTATTTGATGCTCCAGTATTGCCAGACACTCTGAAAGTATCTAAAAATGTATTCAGTAAAGCATGTCATCTAATCCTCCAGGCTATAGGAAAGAGCCCACAATTATCCAAGTTGCAGCATATTTCTCTAAAAAATAAACATCCATTAAATACACAGCTCAAATAGACTCTTTCCTGCCAGAATCAGTCTACAGATAATAGTAATTTCCTGCCTTCCTCAGTTATTCTCAAGTCTTGAAGTTTGTGCAGTGGAACAAAACGTTTCAACTCTATCAGTTACTCCTGAGTATTAGTCAGATGTAACACATCAGACTGCTTTGCTTAGTTTCCTTTAAAAAACAAACCACTAAGATCCAATTTTAAAAAAGGTTACACACACTAAAAGAAAAATCAGAAATTTACAATCTAAACTCCAAGGTTAGATGTGCCAGAAAAATACTTGTTCTGTTTAAAAATAATCATAATCATAAAGCTGGCTGCTAAAAAGGGGTTTTTTTTATAAAGCAGGTTTTTCTTTCTCAATAAGTGAATAAAAATTACAAGATGTAATATTTATTATTTCTGAAATGTTTAACTGCATGGTAATTAGAAACCATCGGTTCATGTGAAGTTTCAAGTGACAGTTTTTATCAATTCACTTTCAAAAGTCAAACAGATTTTTAGTACGTAAAAGTGCTTTTGAAGTATCAAATGTTTTAAAACAGGTTTTCCAGATTCATCCAATTATTAAAAGTAGAATACTTCATGCAATACCTGAAATTTGAAGAACTTTCTGAAGTACATCTTCTCTCCTGTCTGCGTAGTGTAACTTACTGCACAAACTAAGCTGAAAGAAACAATGTTTTGAAAAATAACTTTGAAGTACTTTAGATTTTGTGCCTATATCAAAGCAGCAACAGAATAGCATGCATGTGCTGCAGTTTCATTTAAGCTCATTTTATCATAGAAAAATTTAAAACCTTACATGTGTGTTCCTATCTCCTTTACTTCATGATGGATCACATCATCAATGCAACAGTCAGGCTTAAGTTCTGCCACTGCTGCACTAGAAGCTGAAAGGTTCAAGCGCTGAGAACTTGTCTGAAGATCAGCCTGGGGACAAAAACAAAGCATTGGTTAGAACTGCAGCTGCTTAAAGCGATCTAAAGAAAAATAACTTATGTTACAAAGTACTAGGTTTCACTAAGCATTTTGCACCCTACATGCTTTTATACATATAATATAACCAAGGTATGTTAAGATGATGAGATACTTGTCAAAGCTAAAGACAAGTTCTAAAATATACACGGTCCAAGCCTTTAACATGCAGCTTATAAAATATCTGTTTACTTTACACATTGAGTTCCACAATTACTTCCAAAATTTCTATTCTCAATGTATTATTTGTTCAGCAGAAGACACAAAAAAACAATGCACTAGAGAAGAACTTACTTGAAATATAAGCAGAATACAAGTCAATGCATGCTTTACAGAGACTTGCTTTGATGACCTCACTGAAAGTGCAAGTAAGCAAATGTAACTCCAATTTCTTAGCTGTGGAGGTTTTGCTACACCAGTTCTCCAGAGAAGCTTTATAACATATCTTTTTTTTTTTAATACAATCTTAGTTTTTCATTTTAGTCTTTAAATATTTTTATCATAATTTCTATTTTTATGTCTTACTGTTTCTGATTTCCAAACATGCAAGGTATTGTCAGAAAACATACTCAACGTAATTTTTTTTTTTTTCATAAATCCAGTAAGTAGATTTATCTTCACATACCTTCACCAGTATGTCCTTGACAACTTGATTACTATCATTGTGTACACTAATGTAACTGGAAAACGTCTCTCCCAGAAATATATTTCTGTGTTTAAAAAAAAATATTTAGTAACAGTTACTTAAAAACACCCAAACAGATCACTTCACTGAAACTCCTTTAAGTTCTAGTTAAAATATATATATATATATACACACATGCACACACACACGCTTGCCAGATCATATCCTAGAACTACTTTGGTATGTTCACACTCATACTTCTAAATGTCATCCTTCTAAAACAAACAACTTCAAAAGAGAACAAAAATCAGAATTTTTTTCGAGATAATCCGAGAAGAGTAAGAAGATAGCTTACAGTACCCACAAAAATCACTGTAGCAAACTCTGTTAGTACAAGATGTTATTTATAGTAGTGCATTACATTAGAAATTCAGGGGCAAATTTCTTTCGACTTTCAATTCTTACTACATTTAAAGTCAGGCTACAGTCAAGAAACATCAGGCAGCAGACAATTACATATTATGTCACATTATAAATCAAGCCACAGATTATTTTTAAGATGATTGAATATCTCATCGCATAACAATGATATTCAAAAAGAAAGAAAAGTAATAAACACATTATTGCTAAATGAATCCCAAACCTTGCATGTTACAGTTACAATAATTCATTCTTACCCAAAATTTTGAGGCAAAGTCAGCATTTCTCCTAGCATCAAAGTTTCTGCTCCCTTTACAGTAGAAGGATCATCTTTCATGAGTTGGTTAAATAGACTACCTGTAGAAATATCAAATTGCTAGTATCTAAATATTTGCTAAGTCTAAAGCTTAGTCTACATATAAGTTATGACAATCACTTATTTAGATGTACTTTATTTTAGCCATACTCATTTTACAACCAACTTGTTAGAGATGAAATATATATCTATAGGCCTGCCTATAAATTATAACTTACTTCCATGCACTTGTGTCCAATAAACCATTCAGTATACAATCCCAAAGGCATTGCTCAAATTAACATTAAACTTTAAGAGAAATTCTGGCTGAGTAAAGCACGTTACATAACAGAGCTCATAAACCCCACTTACTTTCTTTCCTTGCTTGTTTTGTATTTGCACACGATCCTGTTTCCCTGAGTCTTTCCTTCGCCTCTTTCTTATAATTGACTTATAGACTGCAACTATTACTGGGGAACAACCCAAGCATTTCCAATTTATGACTGTACCCCAAGCATAACACAAATCAAAAGCAGTGATTCTTGCAAAATAATTTTCCCCAGAACATTCATGTGTTGGTTCTAATTACCAGGGCATTTTTTCCAGATAAAGATGACAGTAATGCCAAACTTTTTACAATTACACATTTCTCTCTCACAACTGCCTTCCACCTTGTATGTTAATTGCTCAGACACTGAGGTCACATGCTTGCAATATCATCACCAAGCTTTCAAAGCTGTAGGTCAAGAGTTGTAGAGTGCACCTTTGTATTTTCCTATAGACATTACCAAACATAAAATATATTGCTGCTTCAGATTACCATCTATGGGAGGTTGTAAGACTCCTCTGACATCTAAGTCTCAGGTGCTCACATTGCTTAAACCTGTTAATACACACATAATAATCAGTCAGTAGAAAACAACATACCTGGCAAATCTCTTTCTTCACAAGTCACCAGAACATTAGTGAACAAAGTAGGTTTGGTTAGCCTCATCACTGCAAAAATCAGAAAATAGACCATAGGTCAATGAAACAAGTATTTTTTTAATTTATTTTTTTTAGAAGTATGATTTTGTCTTGCTCTCCTTTCACCAAAAAAACCCACAACCACCAATCTTAGCCTGAAGAAGGGTTACACCTTTTTGGATCACCTGGCCTTTTTGAATATAAAAAACTTCCTGCTACTCTGAGATCCAAGAGCACTGGTGACGCCATTGCTCCCTCTTGCTTTATTCCCTTCGTGCACTAACATCTACTGCTTTCAATCTTACAGGCTAATGGTCTTATAGCTGTTACAGGGTTAAGTGCTTTCTGGACTTCAGGAAAAGTATACCAGTTTGATTTTTTGTGGACTCTTCTAGGCTAAATGCCTGTTCTGTGATCCTGGTTGCTCTAGAACAGGACATGATGACTAGTACAGACCCTTTCAGTCCAACTCCAGGCTATAAGGAATTGCATTTACACCCTAATCTCCCAAACATATGCAAGATAGAGTTACAAGTCTAAAGCCTACATTATTTATACAACTGCTTTTTCTTTTAGTCATGAACTTTAAACTCAAACCAGCAGAACCATCATAAAAACCTCAGGAACGCACTTAGAAAAAACCTGTTTTATTGATACTGACAAAATCAACATAATTGAGATCTTGCTATTAAAGAAAGTGGTATTTTCAAAGGCTATTTTAACTCAGAATACTCAGAATTACATGATTTTTATTTGTATTACAGATTTAAGATGTTGCTTCTTAAAAGAATTGCTCCCTATTCATATAAGCCAATGGCCCTAATCTTGCAAATAGCTTCTTATGAAAGCATTCACCTGAAACAAAGTTGAGCGTTTGTAACCTTAGGTGTTAGACAGAATACGTAAAAATCACTGATTTGTTTTTGTTTGAAGCTTAAAAAACATAAAACCATCTAATTTCTGAAAACTGAAAAATAAAAGTGAAAGGATTTCTCTTGACTGCAACAAGTTAATCAACATCCTTGCACTGACACACGTACTGTGGTTTTATCTTTATTGTACTTTTGTACATCTTACATGTCTGGTCAGCATTCACTATTTACAGTTGTGTAAAATACTCAAATATTTCATATACATTTGGGTGCAGTGGGCTGTATTAGTTCACAAGAACTTATACTACAATACAGCAGACCTATGCAAGTTAGTATCGACACAAACAAATCTCAGTTTTCACGTAAAAAAGGTAATACATTCTCTTTGTTATGGTGAAAAGTTGAAAAATATGAAGGCTTAGAACCACGAGGTAAATAAAAAGCCCCAAAATATATGAAACAGGGTAAATGGAGAACCAGATTCAACACTGAAAATGAAGAAGATAAATACTAAATTATACATGCATATGAACTAAGCATTTCTGGAACATTTCGAAATGAAAGTCTGGATTTCAGCTTGTACATTGGTGCTACCCAAGATTGAATAATTCTGTAGAGAAACCAAACGTGGCATTCACTTTTTGCTACATGGCAGTTATCCAGCTGAGATGCTCACAGCTAGCAGCATATGTATCATTATCCACATACAAGCCAACCCAAAGAAACAGAAAGCTGACAGCTACCACTGAACAGCAATACCCATCTCTTCTGTTTAGTAAGGTGTTTGTTTAGCTCTTTTGTTGCTATATTAAATATAGTGGGACTATATTATTGGTGGTTACCTAATTTTATTCAAATCTACAGTAAGCCCATATAAACTAGTACTTGCTGACTGTTTCTGAAGGAATAGTTACAGATCGAGTTTAGTCACATTTAGGACAATAAATAAATAAATAGATCATGGAACAAAGTCAGAAACAAATAAATTATGATATGTAGATTATTTAATAGGACTACTCAATATTAGAAAATACTGTTTCTTTGCAGGACAACCCCTCATCTTTTATTCTAAGATCCTAGACAAAAAATACAACATTAAATAAAACTTAAATCACGCTGCATTCTACTCCATTATACCTTTAAAAATGCTGACACACAAAGAAACTTTGTTACTATTATGTTAAGCTCAGAAAAATAATTTCCAGTGAAATAACTTGGCTTTATAAGCTTTAAAACTAATAATGATCCTCAGTTACTCTAGACAGTATTTTACATCAGTTTTGCTACGTGTTAATATTAAATGTCACAAACACCCAAAATGTCAATATAAGACCCCCTTAACATTGAGCCAAAGTTTAGAAATAAATGCCAATGATCCAAACTGAGCAATATCCTTAATTTTAAACTACAAAAAGATATGTAATGCCTATAATAAAATATAATTATTCCAATATAAGGATGTCAAAAGAAAAATGTAAGTAAAACTCCAAGGGGATTTTATTTAGTTTTTACACAGAGGGATCTCTATTACACTTATGTGCACTTTATTTGATCAGTGTTAATGATAATCTAACAACCTACAAATAACATTCACTTATTTTCCCCCTTTTCTAGATGCCACAGACCTTGACCTCCACCTACAGCAAAATTACCTGGAGTTGGCAGTGGCGCCTAGAAATACATTCCTTTGCAGTCATGTTGATCCCAGCTGAACCACTCTACTGACCCTCCAAACACTGAATTGAGCAGGGACAATGACCTTGTCATGTCCTTGAAACATGACCTCGAAACACTTTATTCTTTCAGGTGACAAAAAGTCATGCTGAACTTAGCCTTTTATCACCATAAAATGCACTCAAGTCCCCAGAGACCTTTACTTTCCATAATCACAACAAATAGAGGTTTACAGATAGAAGTCCGATTTCTTAATTTCCTGACCTGTAGCTGGAAGTTAGTCCTTTCTTGTTCCCCAATATAATTAGAGACAGAAGACCAGCAACATCAGGAAAAAAAAAAAGATCTTATTACCAAAGTCATAAACCAGCAAATGCTATGTTGTTCATTATTTTTCAGTGTACAACTTCCACTGAAACTTTCATGAGTATTTCTAGGAAAATATGGATAACATTACTAAGACAGCATATACACGCAATAGAAAGTAAGTTTGTATTTCATGCAAGGGCTATGCTTTCATTAAACAGCACCCCACCCCTCCCCTCCCCCCGCTACTTTCACAAAATAATCAGATCTTGAAAGCCTCAGTTCAAAAATAGTTACACATCCTTACAGCAATTATAACAACTCACTTAAAAATATTTTTCCTTCTCCTAAATTCAAAGACGCACAGTAAGGATGTATGTTGCTTGATTGAAAGCATACATTTTATTATCTGACATAGCTTGGCATAATAGTCTGGAATTTTTATTTTGATTTTTTTCCTTTAGACCACCAAGGTAGAGAAAAGCTACAAAATGCAGTACTAAGCCAAACAGAAACTTACGAATCTTAATAGAACCATTTATAAATCTCCTGGCAAAACAAAGTTAAATAAATATATTTATTACAGTTAAAAAACTGTAGCAAAGTAATATTAAGTAGTATTCTGCTCATTAATTCATCAGTTGTTTACATATTCTAAGCTGCTTAAAAACTCTAGTACTTCAGACAGCAATTTTATACTGAAACTCTATCTCACAGTTATAAACTAAATATAATTCCAAATTTATGCACAAGCAAATTCATTTTATCAGTGAGGCTTAGCTTTTCCCTAAGAATATTTCTAACATATTCACAGTATAATATATCACAGAAAATCCATATCTGTCCCACAGATCTTTGGATAGTAGCATTGCAAGATGGCAATTCATTCTGCTTGATGAGTCTATTCAGTTTTATCCAGATGTCCTCCAAATTCTGATTATTACAAATAGACTGTTCGATTGTCCATTTTGCTCTATAAAACACATGCAGTTTTAGTCTTTCCAAATTATTTTGCAGTTCTTGAGATAAAGGAAGAATCTTTTCTTTAAGCTTAGGGCTAGGGAGAGAGACACTCCAAGACCTTTTCAATTTTTGCTTTCCATTAGGTGGTAGGTCTCCTTGATTCTCCAAGTTAATTGGTGTTTGAACAGTTTGAGCTTGGATTAAAGTCCGCCCATGTTTCACATTAGACTGAAACTCAAGGAGATTTTTTGTGCAGTCATAATCAGGAGATCCTGTAACATATTCTGAAGGTGTAGAAAGTTGTTTCAATTCTTCTGCTTCCTCACAAGAAATAACAGGTGGCAGCTTTTTTGGTTTGAGGGGAAGTCTGTACAAATCATTCGCAAACCAGGGTGTAAATCGTGGTAACTGACGAATGGGAAACTCCTTCACTGCTGCTTCTGCAAATTTCTGCAGCTTTATCAGATCTCTCTGATGTGGTCGATAATGCAAGACCACTTCCATGCTTGTACAGTAGGAATCCAGTTAGTCTTAAGAAAAGGAACAGTCTCTTGATTAGGATTCTCAAATCGAGACTGAAACACCTTATTTACAAGAAATTCCTTGACCCGTGCTGCAAAGATCAGTGGAAAACAGGACCTAAAGCAGAAGTATTATAAAAAAATAAGATACTACCATATTAAGAAAAACATTGCTAGGATATTTTACAGAAAAACAACATGTATAGTAAAAAAATAAGTGAGATACATATCAGAACATTCTACTTTATCCAGGCTGAACATTAGCAACTGTATTTCATCATTACCAGCATAACCTCGGTACCCTACATATTATCCATATGCACGCAGTTTACTCAACACTGCCCCTCCCAAGAGTACTCTTTTACTGTTACCACCTCATACTTTCCATCCGTCATTATTCTTGCTATACTGTTGTGATGCATATTAAAAGACAAAAATTACTACTTCCTATTTTCTCAAATTTACCAGACAAACCTATTATTTTTTTTTATAAAGTGTTTTCCTCCTACACTTCAACGTTTTAAGGCAGGGCATATAAAGCAGCTAGAAAACACGTGTGTTACCAAAACCCTTCCTGAAATAGTACTGACCAATATAGCAGTTTTTAAAGTCACAGGTCAAAAGGGAAGTGATATAGGCAAATTAAAGTTGTCTGCTTCCATTTCATATCAGAACTACACATTTAGTTTTAGTCTCAGAGCTTCTGAGCAACACATGCAGCCACCCTTTCAGTCCTTAGCTGAAGGACCTGCTAATTCCTTAATTTTTTAGGCTTTTAGAGTAACTAAGACTCATTAAGTCCTTAAAGACTTTATACTTTCATACATTTTCATATATTGCTGCCTTCTTTCATGCAAAAATTATATTAAATGCGGAGGTGGAGGAGGGAACATGTGTGTGGGAAAACTGCAAACACCGCTATGAAACATAACATAACATGTACTCTCTTCCTTTCCTGTTTTTCCCCACCTAACAAGTTTGTAATCATTTCAGGCTCCCTGCCAGAGATCAGCAATATACAATGATATTAGTCAATAAAATCTAGAATTGCTTAATCATTACACTGTCAAGATTTTGTTTAAAATAGTCACAACACGAACAAACCCTGATACCTTTCTCACTTCTTTTGCGAAAACTACAGCCTGGACACTGCACTGAATTCGATACAAGCCCGAGGATTATACTGGTTTCTTACAAAAGCAAAATGATCCATCATAACGCTTTTTGCTTTGAATTAATTACTATCAAAATGCATTTGTAATGTCAGCTGATGATATTTCATGTTCTCAGGGGTTTTGGCTTTATTTTGTGTGTGTGTACGCATATATGAAAAGGGGCTTGTTGATCTCTGAATTATGGTTAACAGATTTTACAGTGACATGCAAACCCATTAAAAACTCTCTCTTGAGGAGTGCTGTAAAACTACTAAACAGGCAGAAGATGGGCTCTGAAATAACCTACACACCTGCACTACTTAATCCATCTGAGCAGCCTCACTGATTTAGAATTGCTTGCAGAATTGAGATTTTAACCAACTATTTATTACTCCTACTTAACTAGCAGCATTTGTTTTATAAACAAGCATGGTTAGAAAAAAAGGAAAGTAAATATTGTGTCTGTTGACTGAAATAAGGTGAAAGTAGATTCAGGCTTTTCAGTGTTTCAATTGCTGACTTACTGGTACCCAACTACTAGCAGAAACAATCAAATTCTTTACAGGGCTCTCTCGATTTCCGTATTAATTCTGCAAGGTATGCGAGAGACACACACGTTTTTATTTTCGCTGTTGGCGATTCCTGAACCAAGGATGTAAGCCCAGTAGCTGCGCATTAAGCATGAGGTTACAGGGGCAAAAGACCCAAACGACAGCCAAGCAGGGAACCGGAAAGCAAATTTAAAAGCAGTATTCGCTCCGAACTGCTGAAAGCCTTCTGCAAAACGCAAACGCATCGAGCAGCCCCGTGGGTCGTCCCCGTCCCCCGCCCCCGCCACCCTCTTCTGCCCCTCGGGCACCCCCCGCCGGGCGCCCCGCCGCCGGCCGCTCCCTACTCGGCCTTCTTCTGAAACGGAGGGCAGTAACGGCCGAGCCTCCGGCACGGACACGCTGTTTCACGACCGCGTCGCAACCGGCAGCCCGCGCCGCTCCCCCCCACGCCCCGACCGCGACGCCCGGCCCG